TCGGATCACCAGTTAGGAGGAGATTATTGTTTTAGCACTTTGTGTTGACACTTTAAACTTACCAGTTGCTCTTAGAAACTCTGTACTGGGTTGTTATGAGCAGGAACAGCAACAGCAGTGATAGAAGAGATAAGGAGAAATGGACAGATTTGGGATTTATATTGAATTGCAAGTGAGAAGACTTGGTTTAATAGATGGAATGGAAAAGAAAGAGAGAGAACACGAACAACTGGTTACCTAATATTGTTTTCTGAAGTAGAGATGATTAGAGAAGTAATTTATCTTATTTAGTTTGAGGAGTCCTGGTGCGGCATTTAGTTTGAGAAAGGTATGAAATCAGGAGTTCAATTTTCAGCATTTTGAGTTTTAAGCCCTTAAGTAAATATTTCCAGTAGACAACTGAATACATGACTGTGAAGGTCAAGTGTTGGAGACAGAAGTTTTGGCAGTCCTTATCATAACAACAAATCATATATTATTAATTTAAAACATCATGACCCTTCCTGAGATCATTAGATTGAGAGTATAAATAGTGAGGAGGTCCCATTACTGACACTGTGCAATTAGAGGTGGGGTAGATAAGAAAGAGTTCTCTGTGTCAGTTGCATGCAATATACATTGTTGTTGTTGTTGTTGTTAAGTGCCTTCGAGTCGGTTCCGACCCATAGCGACCCTGTACAGGGTTTCCAAGGGTATAAGTCTTTATGGGAGTAGAAAGCCTCATCTTTCTCCCGCAGAGCAGCTGGTAGTTTCGAACCGCTGATCTTAAGGTTCGCAGCCCGATTCGTAACCACTATGCTACCAGAGCTAAAAGTTGCATGTATTTAAAGCAGTTCCCTTTTTGTTTTAAAACTAAACATTTGATATATTTTTATGAAGTGTGTATTCAATCTTTAGGTTTGCTGTAACAAAGTACCCCAAATCTGGTGGCTGGCCTAAGAAAAGGGAAATTTTTCTTTCACAGCTTTTGAAGTTAACAAATTTAAAATCAAGGTATTAGCAGGAGCATGTTTCCTCTGAATGAAGAAGTCTTTCTTGCCTCTTCCAAGCTTCTAATTGTTGTTGTTACTAAGTGCTATTGAGTCAGCTCTGACTTAATCGGGACGTTGTTTAGAGTTTCCTAGGAATGACTGGTGGGTTTGAACCACAAGTCATGTGGTTAGCAGTCCAGTGCCACTCCGGGACTCCTGATCGCTAACCAAAGTACTTTGCGTTCTTTGCCTTGTAGGTGCAGCAATACATCGATATAATCTCTGCCTAAATCCTGGTGGCGTAGTGGTTACAAATTGGGCTGCTAATCTCATGGTCAGTGGTTGGAAACTACCAGCTGTTCTGTGGGAGAAAGATGAGGCTTTCTGCTCTCGTAAAGATTTGCAGCCTCGGAAACCCTGTACACGGTCATTATGAGTCGGAACCGACTCCACGGTACTTAACAACAAGTCTTCATATGGCCTTCTTTTTTCTCTGTCTCTTTCTGTCTTCATCTCATAAAAATACTAATCTTTGAATTTAATGACCACCATAATCCAGTACGAGGCCATTTTAAGGAATTACAGCTATAAGATTCTGTGTTTTAAATAAAGTTACTTTCTGAGATTCTGGATGGACTTGAATTTGGGCTTGGGAGCACTGGTGAATCTATTTCTGGTCTCAGGAATCATTCTGAATGCTGTTGATTTAGGAGATAATACAATGGTGTCCTGGTATAGGATAAGCACTGGACTGCTAACCATAAATTAACTGCAAGTTTGTAGGTTCAGATTCACTATAAAGGATTTCTATGTGTGGGAACTGACTTGACAATAAGAATTTAACAACAACAGCGGTGATAACATTTTCCACGAGAGCTCAGTTTTCCACGAGAGCTAATTTTCCACGAGAGTTCAGTTACGAACAAATCGTTTATTATGTTTGAGATGTGATACCTTCCTCCCCCCATACCTTTCTCCTCTTCGGTATATCTACTGTTAGATGACACTAGATTCTTCCGCAGGTTAGAAGAGTTTGCTAGATAGTCTCATTAGGTTAGACTGGTTGTATAAGAGCATCTTCTTTCAGAATCTTAATATCTTTTGTTGTTAGTTATTGTATCCACTTTTGAAATGGGAGACTCTGAAAATATCTTAAAATGGAAAGTTCTTTATAAATTATTATTGTCCTTCATTATGATTTATGCTTTTTAAATTTTATCACTTTTTTTTAAGATTTGAACTTTACGTAGTAGTTACTATTGATTTGTATTACTTAGTCATGTTTATTTAGTAGTTTATTGCATTTAAGTATTCTTTCACCATGTCATAACTTCAATGCTAATGTTTTGGTAATAATAAACTTAATTTTTATAAATTACTAGATTTTATTAAAATTATTGAATGGACAATATAGTTTTTCCCAACGGGCATGCCCATTGGTCTCCTATCATAATCTCTTGTCTTTCTCTTAAATTCATTTTTCAAGTAATTTTATTTTTAAAAGTAGTTATCAATAAGAAAATAATTAGGGCTCATGGCAATATTATGAAACATTTGATGTCATTGGTGTCAGTGACTGCATATGCAGACATTGGAGACAATGAAATGGGGACTGGCATAGAGCAAGCTAAATACAGTTTCTGTCTTAGCGCTAAGGAGGCACAGTCCTGTCATGCACCTTATCTTTTGGCATGTTTGCTCTTTAGTTTTTCAGAATCCAAACTATAAAGTCAAAACAGACATTTATTAGGTATCTACTATATCCCAAACTTAAAGGTAAGTACTTTTACATTGTAGTCTTATTGTGACCTTCCAACACTTTTGAGAGGAATATGTTCAGTCCATTTGAAGAAGTCAGAAAGTAAAAGCTTGGTTATTCATGTTTTACTGAGCAATAAGAAGAAAAGATGCTAATTAAAAGTTAAGGTGCAAAGTAGGATTCCACAGTCAAGTTATTTTTATTATAATGTTATATTTTATCTAAATTTGTTTAAAAGGAGATGTAAATGAGTTTATTTGAATGTTTTAAATTGTCTGTTTAATAATGTATTTTCTCTCTTATATTTACATGATGTATTCCCATGCTATGTTGATGATCTTATTTTTCCCTCCCCTTTTTTTTTTTTTTTTTTTGGTTTCAGAGGAAGAACTTGTCTCTTTTCCTCAGCATTAGTTTATTAACTTTCTGGGGGTCTTCCCTTTTGGGGGCCCGTTTATACTGGATGGGAAACAAACCACCAAGCTTTTCGAACTCTGACAACCCAGCTGCTGATTCGGATAGCTTCCTGGCTAGAACGCTCACCTTCTTCTACTTGCCAACCAAGAACCTTTGGCTGTTGCTATGCCCAGATACCCTCAGTTTTGATTGGTCAATGGATGCTGTGCCTCTGCTCAAAACAGTTTGTGACTGGAGAAACCTACACACTGTGGCCTTCTATACTGGACTCCTCCTCCTTGCCTACTATGGTTTGAAGAGCCCTACAATAGAGAGAGAATGCAGTGGGAAAGTTGTAACAAATGGCAAGCAGAATGCAAATGGACATAGCTGCCATTCAGACATGGAGTACCGGAACTCAGAGATTAAGCCCAGCTTTGCATCCAAAGTAGAAAATGGCATAAAAATTAATGTACCAGAGAGAACACAACTTCCTTCTACTGAGAACATTGTTGTTCTGTCTTTATCTTTGTTAATAATACCTTTTGTTCCTGCCACAAATTTGTTTTTCTATGTCGGCTTTGTAATTGCAGAGCGAGTGTTGTATATTCCTAGTATGGGCTTCTGCCTTCTGATTACAGTGGGTGCCAGAGCCCTTTATGTCAAAGTCCAAAAGCGGTTTCTCAAGAGCTTGATTTTTTATGCTACAGCTACATTAATTGTTTTCTATGGACTCAAGACTGCGATCAGGAATGGAGACTGGCAAAATGAGGAAATGCTGTATAGATCAGGGATAAAAGTAAATCCAGCAAAAGGTAATCTTTTATTTTTTGCTTTTGACTTGATAGATTATTTTTGCCTTTTAAAATCTTGGCTCCTCGCTTTAAAGCACAATATTAAGGAAGAAGGGGTTCTTTTAATGCATTATCTGTGTTTTTCTTTCCTTTTTTTATTTTTAAAGAGATGAATAATGAAACTAATTTACAGACATTTCTAGCATTCCATATTTGGCATAACCTCAGGGTCAGCAGTTCAAAACTACCCGCTGTTCTGCGGGAGAAAAATGAACCTTTCTGTTCCTGTAAAGATTTACAGCTTTGGAAACCCTGTACAGGGTCTCTATGAATTGAAACCAACTCCACAGCACATAACAACAACATAGTAGTTGAATTGTAGGAGCTGTGGGCTAATGTGCTGGACAGCAAAGTCAGTTTGAACCACAAGGTCACCGGTTCAAGCTCACCAGCTGCTCCTTGGAAACCCTTTACAGGGTTGCTGTGGGTCTGAACTGACTCAACAACATTTAACAGCAGCAATTGTAGTTGAATAAATTGCATTTCACAGTGACTTAGTAGAACGTCCCCCTACGGTGTTTAAGTCTGTGATCTTTAAGGAAGCAGTCTGCCTTATCTTCCTGGTAATGGATCACTTGGTGGGACTTTTCAGTTGGCCACTGAGCACTTCAGCTACCAATGTTCCCTATATTTAGAATAAAATGGTAATTTGTTTTCATTGTTGTTGTTGATTACATTTGTCTAGAGATATTAGAATCACTATTTTGTAATAATAATGGCTATTGTAAGAATTTAGAAAAAATGTTTAGTTTTCCCATTTTAAATTTTGATATGAACTCTTTCATCATGTAGTAAAAGTCAAGTTACCCCATTTAGATATTATTTAGCTCTTCGGTTTCCCAAGCATCACCTGAGGAAAATACCACCAGACATACAATGACATCTCTAAAATGATTTGGAGGTAGAGCTACCTCTGAATCTCAGAATTATATCCCTAGGTGTCACTAGGTGCACATGGGGGTGCTAGTCTCGCTTAGCTTTGCAGGGACTTAATAATCTGGTAGCAGGTTCTTGTTTAAGTGTTCTTAAATTGCTTAGCAAAATAAAATTTTTTTATTATACAGTGGAAAGATTGTTTTTCATATATTTAATATTTTACAGTTAGAAAATCATTTTAACAAATTTCAGAATCTATAGCCATAATAGAACAAGCATTCACAATAAATAAATACAAGTGAATATTTTAAAATTGTTACAGTGGATTACTTTGCTTTTGGCAATTAAACAGTGATGAAAGTTGGAAAGCAATTGAGTGAAAGTATGTATAAAATTTGCATATAGAAATACCATAGGAAATAGTGCCAAGTAGTCATGTTCTTCATAAGCCATTTTTCTGTTATTTATCCATAAATTTATACTTGTTTCTACTGCCTTTGTATTGTACTTTTTAGATCTGACTTTGGCACATATTAAATCAAGAGTTCATGAGCAACTACACATTTTTTTTTAAAGCCAGAGAACTAATTATTGGTACTTGAAATTCTTAGTACATTGTAAGAATCTTAAGAGGAGTAGAAACATTAAGTTGAGCTAGTGCATACAATCCCTCAGTTCTCTTTGAAAAATCATTACTTTGTGGATTTGCTAGTTAGTGAGTACCACAGTTTATTGAATGTCTGACTCAAATCTTGCTGTAAAATTGTTGTAATCAGTTTTCGTAGAATGCTTTTCAGCTACTGTTTCTTCTCTAGTAAGTGATATAGTATAAGTATATAGAACAAAGCTATATTGCTTATTTTTCCCCCTTATGCTTAAAGCATATGCATGTTAAAAAATCAAATCAAACAGAAAAAGAAATGTCATCTTTTATTATTTGCATCAAGGGATTTTTGAGTAGTTATGAAATATATTGGCTAAGTTTAAGGTATGCTACTATAACAAAGAGCCAAGATAACAGTGGCTTAAATAAGAGAGAAGCTTTATTTTTTCATGTAACAATCTAAGTTTGTGCAGCTCTGTGTTGATAAGATGGCGCCATGGGTTTTTAATTTGTGCTCCTTCTCTTTTGTTCCTTTGCCATCTCTGGAGTGTCACCATGCCCAAATGGTTCAAGATGTCTCTATCACATCAGCACTTCAACTAACAGGAAGAAAGGGAGAAAGGGCAAATGGTGGGTGTACACATTCCCTTTTAGACCATATCACAGAATTTGTATATACTATGTTTGCGTACATATAGTTAGCTGCACCTAGTTCAAGGAAGACTGGAAAATGTTATTTTTATCCTTGGAAGCTAAGTGTCTAGCCAGCTTTTATTACTCTGAAATAATGGAGGAAGGCAGATGAGATTAAAGGGGAGAAGTAGTCATCTCTACTCAAGTAGATGAAGTAGTTAGTAAATCCTAGGTATTTCCTACGGTTGTTGAAGGGATAGAAGGAGAAGAAGTAGGAGAATTATTTTTCCTTGGAGAGTACATACACTCAAGGGCAATGCATTTGAGCTTTTTGTTTCTCCCCCCCTCCCACCCTACAGAACATCCACTGGGTTCGAACCATTGACCTTATGGCTAGCAGTCCAGTGCTTATCCTACAGAGCTATTGTGCTCTATGAAACTATGGTCTCCTGAAATTTCTTATTTTCAGGATAGTCCACACTCAGCTTCCCTCAGCTTTTCAAAACAACCTTTAAGTGAGATTACTAGTTTCTGGCTTCAAGTAAAATAATCAGGGATGACTCTAGATTTTCCTGTCTCTCCACATTTCATGGTTGACTGAACACATGACCATGACACCCAACACTGGACAAATGAGAATTGTAGTGGTTTATTAGTCACATGTACTTATAGCCTGTGGTCCTGATGTGGCACTCTAGGATAATCACTGGATTGCTAAACACAAGGCTTGGTGGTTCAAACTCACTACTCACTCTTCAGAAATCCAATACAGGGTCCATATGAGTCGGAACTGACTCTATGATACTTAACAACAACAATTTACAGACTGAAGAGGAAAATACCACTTGACATGTAAGTTGTGTTCAGGAGCAAATTGAATAAGTAGGGGTTGCGGAACACAGGCTTTATAGTATCAAGCGTGTGTTATGTCCCTGATAAGCACAGGAATATGTGATTCCTTTGTTTCAGTAATTTCATGGGTTGTCATGGCATGGAAACCTGCTACTCAACATAGAACAAGAACTATGTCTGGGTTCTTCAATAAAGAGAGTTGATTGGCTAAGGGATATTTTCTATGGGAGCTGAGTGGGAATGATAATTTGTAGTTAGGCAATTTGAATCCCTGCCAGTTTCTGATGTCAAAGGCATCACATAGTATTTATTTTAGACCTTAATACCCCATGCAATAACAATAATAGTACTCAGTATATAGAATGCATTCAATATATAATACATTAAGTAATGAATGTTGAAATCATAGTCTTTCTACTTATGAAATGGATAGTGTAGCAAGTGGTTTTACATGCATAATAGAATGTGGAAGAGTTTACTATACTTTTGATATACATGGTCTAATGGATGCAGGAGTTACAATCAGGAGTGGAGTTAGTTTGGACTCCATGATTGCCATCTGTGACATATGCTGCCATTTAGAAAAAAGGCAAAACTCTTTAAATTCATGTTCTGTTCTTATATTTTTCTGTTTATAACATTCTAATAATATTTCTGGTTATAGTTATTTCCTTAGCAATTACGAGGCTAGCAGTAATCTTCCTTTGGGCAGTAACTGTCCTTTAGGCAGATTTTTCTTGGTCTCTTATGTTATTTGAGCCTAACCAATGATTAGAAACATTGTATAGCCAGTCTTTCTTAAGGTTGTCTGAGATTACAATTCTTTCATTGCTAAGTTTTTTGCTACTTTGAAAGCTTTTGAAATTTGGGAATGTTTCAGTTTCTCATGCGCTTTAATAGAATATGATTTTAAGCCTTGTGAAGAATTATACAGTAATGCTACTGCTTTCAGTAAAGGGTCCTGTAGACAGCTGCCAGTCATTAACTAATTGGATGCAAATGATGATGAGTAAAGTCTGTTCTAGTGACTTTGCTGCTAATTGATGGTTTAAATCTGGATAGTAGATAAAAGATAGCTGATTTGGACTATGTAAACTACATGGCCTATCTCATTATGTGGTTGATAATGTCAGGAAAATACTAGACGTAGTTGATTACAGTCGTTTGCTGATTGCACAATAATTCTTGGCATTTTTGTGCTTCAGAAAGAAAAAACTTTCTTTGATGACTGTTGTAATGAATAAGCCACATAATATTTAAGAGCTTTTCTCCTTTAGGAAAATGCATTTTATAAAACATATTAATTACTGTTTGCTTGGCAAAATCATTTATTAATTCATTTTAAAGCTGTTAAATGTATGACCATTCTTCTTGTTGGCTTGTGAACTGTGACTGTAGAATTGGGCAGCAGTGATCCCTCTAGCAAGAGTTATAGATTACCAAATACGTTTTACTATCTCTCATTTTTTGCAACTCTCTAGACACAACAGCACTTAACAACAACAACAGTAGTTTTATTTTTTCTTAAGTTAATGGGTTCTCCAAATTTCTATCCAAAGGCTGCTTTTATTGCTCCTCTTCTGTACATACATCACAAATGTATGTCGTATGCATTATGCAGAAATGAATGTGTTGTTGAGTTTCTAAGTTACAAGTATATCTGTTATACTGTTCTGTTCAATTGACTCTGTAATAACTATGTTCTGACTCAAGTCAGATATCTTTTAGTTTTCATTGTTACTGCCTTTTATTACTAGTGCCTTTAAAATTTTCATCTTTGAATAATATGCAAGTGAACATCTGAAGTTGATAACATCAGGAAATTACACACTGCAACATTTTATGTAGTACATATTGCTAATAATTAGATGCACGAAAAAGCTCCAGGCAGGCATCAGTATGGTTTGCTGTAGCTCAGACACCTCATAATTTAGGGTTATATGTACCACGAGGCCCCAAAAATTTCTTGGAAAAAATGGATTTGAAATACAGTAGA